GCGTGCTTAACATAGAAAAGATATGGGGGGGGGAGATAGGGGTTTTGCTTCTTTAAGTAATTAATGTAATTTGCTGTTCTTGATGTTATGACCAAAGTTGTTTGCTGCAACTTTTCTTTTTTTTTGTTTTTGTTGACAACTGAGTCTAACTGCTTTAACAGCCACCTGCACAAGACAATCACCTGTACAAACGACTACTTCTCATTTCCCCCCTGTCATATTTTTGTTTGTATAATGACACTGTCCAAGACTTCCACCTGTCCTAGACATCCATTTTTCTCCTGGACTATGGGTGGCCATTTTGAACAATTTCCATTTTATTTCAAAAGGATTAGAGGAATGTTACTGTGTTGTTGATTTACTGTAGAATCATTTCCAGTTTTTTGTTTGACTGACAGCCACATCGAGGGTCCTCCCACCGTGTTTGGCTGTGCCCTCAACTACGCGGCCTTGAGAATGCTGGGACTTCCCGCAGATGACCCAGACCTGGTGCGAGCCAGAGATCTGTTACACAAACTAGGTTGGTTTTAGTTTGCTTGGAAAATCTCCACAGCTCAGGTATTGAGGTGGGGGGGGGTCTTAAATATGTGAATGTCTGGCTTTAAGGAAAAATGGGGACATCGCTCTAGACATATTGATACTTCTGTCTGTGAATGACTTTCAGTTACCATCAGCATTTTAAAATATTTATTATGTTCACTCTTGCAAAGCTGTAGACAACTCAAAGTTTGTTTTAACATTCTTAAACCTTGAATTTAAATACCACAAGATGAAGAAGATAACTTTAATGATCTAAAACTCTTAAAGTTAAAATATGAAAGTTTTTTGGGTTTTTTTTTTGGGGGGGGGGTGGGGTGGGGATGGTAGTGTTTTTTTTCCATCAGCCGCTTATTATATTGAATTTTAATTTTGATGCATGCTCTTTGAATATAATACATGATGACTGCATTGTTTAGATGCTCCAGCTGCATATATCTTGTCTCAGTAATTCTTTGCTTAAGATCAAATATGTGTATACAGTTGAGCCCCTGTCATACGTTACTTTGATCTAGTTACACCCGAAGACCTAGCCTGGTGAGTGGTTGGCGGGTGCTGTGGTGTGGTTAGCTCCTTCTTTCCTATCAAACATCTATCGTCCGGATCTCTCCTCCTTCTTTTTTGTGTATGTTACTCTCTTGTAACACCTCTAATCTTCTGGCGCTCATATGACCTTATGCAGTTGCGAGCGCCGTAAAACTTCTACTAAAACTAAAAAGACCTAGCCTGTCACTAATGAGTCAACTGTTCTCCTGGTCCCCACACATCCAGGCGGAGCAAGTGCAATCCCCTCCTGGGGCAAGTTCTGGCTGGCCGTGCTCAACTGCTACAGCTGGGAGGGTCTCAATTCTCTTTTCCCGGAGATGTGGTGAGTGTGCTCGGCTACGAAATGTGTGGCATCTTTGGTGAAATCAGGCACTCGTCAAAATAACAGGATCAAACAAACCGAAATTTTTTCCGCTTGTTGAGCAGTTTTTATCAATTTTTATTTCATTTTATTTTTTTTTCGGGGGGGGGGGAGGGGAAGAGGCTCAGCAGCTTTTATCTCTACAATAAAACATATTTCTGTCTGGATGTAGATTTGCAGTTTACATGACTCTCAAGATTTTGAAGTCAATAAACTTGGGCAGCCATTTTCTCGCTAATTTTGCCTCTGATGCTAGGCAATCTCACCTTCAATGGCAAATATCTCAAATTCTATTTAAGACAGATGAGTATTTACTTCTTCAAAAGCAAGATAAATAAACAAACTTTAAGATTATACCAATAAGCTCCATAGCCCCAGAAATTGACGAGCATCTGATTCCACCTGTCATGACACAAATGTTAATGAAAAGTTAAAAACCAACGCTTGAATAAAGGAGTATGAAAGCTGCATTGTAGCAGAAGTGAATTTCTTTTTTCCTATTAATTTTGGTGGGGGTTTTTTTCCTTTATATTTATCTCCAACCAAAATTTTTTTGGGTCTCATTTAACTCTTTATTTTCTTTAGTGTTTCATTTGCCCTGTTTATTGGAAGGGTAAGATTAACTTTGTTGTTTTGTTTTTAAAGAAAAATTTTCTTCCTGACCTCATGGCCACCTCTCCAGGATCTTGCCGACATGGCTCCCCTTCCACCCGTCCAAGCTGTGGTGTCACTGTCGTCAAGTCTACCTGCCCATGGCTTACTGTTTCGGACGCAGGATTTCTGCCCCGGAGGATGACCTCATCAGGAGCCTGAGAAAAGTAAAAAATCTTTCATGTTTGTTTTGTTTGAGTCAAGAGGTGCATTTGAACTTAATAATAGTCTCTTTTTAAAATTGTGTGTTACTCATTGTCCTGGCAGTGAGGTGGGGGTGTGGAGGTATACTTTGTACTGAAGTGTTGTTTACTTTTTCTCTTGTTAGCCTTTAACTGATTTGTTGGTTTGGGGGGGGGGGGGGGGGGGCAGGAGAAGGGGAAGAAAGGGGATTATTTTGTACTGGAGTGTTATTTTCCTTTCCTCTGTTTGCCTTTGATTTGTCTGCTACTTTTTATCTGGGGAGGGGAGTGAAAAGCAGTGTTGCTTTTCCTCCTTGTACTCATCAGTCACAAGAGCTCACTTGTAAACTGAGATTATAAATAATTTTATTTGTTTTACACCAACATTGACACAATTTACGTGAATAACTTCCCAACTCAGGAATCGAACTTGTGTCTTCTGCATACATCAATAAAGAGCCTAACTTTTCCTCCACAAGACAAGATGCTTTTTTAAAAGTATATATGTATGTCATGCTGTGTATTGATTTGGTGCCTAAATGTTTTATGCCATACATCTCCTTGAGACTGTTCCTAATGTCCTATCATGTCTCATTCCACCAGGAGCTGTTTGTTGAAGATTTTGACAAGATCAACTGGCCAGCCCAGAGGAATAATGTCTCCTCAGCAGATCTGTATAGTCCGCACGCCATCATTCTAGACATAGCTTACAGTGAGTACTCATGTTGTTGATAGAGCTTTCAGTGAGTAAAGATTATAGCTTACAGTGAGTACTCATATTGTGAATAAAGCTAATGGTGGGTACTTAGATTATGGATAAAGCTTACAGTGAGTTTCCACATTGTGGATAGGGCCTGCAGTGAGTGCCCATTCTGCCTCTCTTTGTTCCCGATATTTTATTCTGTCTAAACTGTTTTAGTATATAAAGGGAATGTTGATCAGATGTCTGAAAATAATTTAGATGTTTATTTGTGTATTGAATTTAGTTGTTAATTGATATATTGATCTACCACATACATTCTAGAGTCACTTACTTATTTAGTTTATGAACATAATGATTGATCACATAAGCCTGAGTATTGTTCAGTCATTTATTTGTTACATTAGTCTGTGTTGGATATAGTCAATTGTTTTATATAACATTTGATCTTTGAGCATATGTGTTTATTTGATGTATCGGTTTTCAAAATCCATTTAGATTTACTAAGAGTGTTCAAATTATTTTCTAAAGTGATTAGGATGTGTCTCTGTTTAGTGACATACCATTCAGTTTTGTTTTTGTGGGAAATATCTTTGTTTTCATCTTCTAGAAAAAGAGGCAATGTTTTATATGTTTACCTTTCCTCTGTTTGCCTGTCTGACTTACATTTTTTTTGTCTGTACGAAATGACCATTTTTGTGTCAATGTGCTTCTCTTTTCTTAAAAGCTTCAACATTTTTTTTCCAGCCATTTTGAACATATATGAAAAAGTGCATCTTGGCTTTCTGAGGAAATGGGCTCTTGCAGACATGTACGACCACATCTCAGCTGATGACAGATTCACAAAGTGCATTAGTATTGGTCCGGTACGTCTTGACATATGTGAGGCAGGGTGGTGGAATCAGGCTCTCATCAATTTTGGGGCATGTAGAGGTATTGGTATCATCTTAAAGCTTGTTCACTCGTCTTTATTTGGATGAAAAAAATATCCATTTATCTTGAATGCAAGTCGAGATATTTGCAAATGAAGGAGGTGGAGGTCACCTGTTTTCAGAGGTAAAATTAGTGATAAAATGGCCGCCAGAAATTATGACTTGAAGGTGGAAGTCTTCAACATTTATTTTTTGCTGCAGTATAAGTTATTGTTTCTAGTAGAGATGGGTGGAAGAAGTTGCCACTAAAAATGGTTTTAAATCATGCTTTTTAAAATGCTATATGAAATATTGGGTGGTTTGTACTGCTATATCTTTAGCATGAGAATTTCTTCTTTGCTTTAAAGGATATTACTTTATGACCGGTGTTAGATTTGTGTATCAAAGCAGTGATTTGTTCTTGGAAGCTAAGTGACTTGTATTGCTAATGGACAAACAGAATTGAGTGCTTGAATAGTCCCACTGGTTGGTCCTGCTTTGTTATTTTCACACAGGTGATCCTGTCTGGCTGTTTGTCTTGCTGTTTCCTGGCACTATATGACTGATATTGTGTGGACTTACAGGTCAAAAGACGAGACATTGATCTTTTTTATCCTCTGTCTGCTTTTAGATTTCCAAAGTGATCAACATGGTGATTCGATACCACGAGGAAGGACCTACAAGTAAAGCTTTTATGCTTCACCAAGACAGGGTGCAGGACTACCTATGGTGAGTATGCCTTTTCTTGCTCTAACAACAATAGTGCCAATGTGATTGTTCGAGCAGCTGAGAAAATGCACACCGGAGTAAATGAAATGAATGACAAATTTTATCTGACACTCTGCCCACCCCTCAACCCCAACAGATTTCAATTGAAATGTTCTATGGGGGAAAAAACCTCCAGACATCCATTCAGGACATATAATTTCCATACAAAGAAATGTAATTTACAATTACCACTACCACTTAAAAAAAATTCAGAAGCAGGTACTCAGAACTGATTAATCTTCCAATACAACACAGCGTGCAGCTGCTTCCCTTTAAAAAGTAAATGCTTTTATGCTGAAATATGAGGGTCCCAATGTGTAGTGGTATGGTGTTGTTGACACAAATCTTTCATGGTATGAAAACAGAATGTGAACCAGTTACAAAAATATCATCGGTGCCAGATTCTAATCGTTTATCCAACAAATTAGATCTCACACTTTTTTTAGTTGTCTGAAATATGTTATTTACAACCATAATTACTAATGGGGATACTGCAATATGTTAAGAGAATACTTTATATGATACATTGAGTAATTCTGGTACATAGTAAGAAAGACATTACGTTTTTCCCCCACTATTCTGAAACTCAATATTCACGCACATACACGGTTAGAGTCTGATATTGATGATATATGTGATTTTACACAGATTTTCTGCCAATATTCTTTCATTTTATTATCTTTTTAAAACAGAACCTTGTTTCACTCTTTCACAGGATTGGTCTGGATGGTATGAAGATGACAGTAAGTTTTCTGGCACCTGTTTTTTTCCATATTTTTAGATCAATGAGTGCTGAACAAATTTCTGAACATTGTTGGTTCCAGATTATGGAGTGACAGGGTTCAGCTGAGATGTGATTTTATTTCAATTAAAGCTTTTTGATTCCCAGTTGCAAGTGTTTTATTTTAGTAAATACTTTTTAGGGGCCCTTCTATTGAAGAATAATAGTTTTGAAATTGTTATTCGTAGTTTCGGCTATCATACATAGCTCACCATCACCTTGACTCGAAATTCATTTTGAAATTTACACTTAAAATTTCGATTTTTGCCCATTGATTAATGCTTCCTAGATTTCCTGTTATTAAAAAAAAAATTCATAGATCCTGTACAAAAAGCATTTTGACTCTTATCTTTCATCAAGACAGTTTTGCAACTGACTTTGATGTGACCTGTTAATGGTCTTCTGGCTAATAGAATGTTTTTCCAAAGTCTGCTTTTTAATTTCACTAGACTATATCTGTCTGAAAGCCTCCCATGCTGCTAGTATGAGATAACAGCACAGTAATTATAGCAGTAATAACTCTCTGTTTTGTTCCCCCCCCCCCCCCCCCCCTCTTCCCTCCCCACCCACCCAGGGCACAAATGGAAGTCAGTCGTGGGACACGTCGTTTGCTGCCACAGCGTTCTTAGAGGTCAGTCCCAGTCGTGTGCTGTGGTTCATCTGTGCAGTGGGATTTTCAAGATTGTTGATTCCTCTTTGTCTTACCATCGTTTGTGTGATTTTTTGGTCTATTTTTCTGTGTTTCACTGTCGCTTGTGTGACGTGTGACTTCTTTTTCTCTCTGTCTCACTGTCACTTGTGTGACTTTTTTTTCCCACTTTATACATTTTGCAACCATTGTTTCTCTAATTATGATTTTTTTTCTCTTTGTCTTACTATCATATTCCTGGTGTGGACTAGCAGATGACGAATTGTGCGCACTACGTACACACCAACACAGAACATTACTTTTCTTTTTGTCTTACTATCATATTCCTGGTGTGGACTAGCAGATGACGAATTCTGCGCACTACGTACACACCAACACAGAACATTTTTTTTCTCTTTGTCTTACTATCACATTCCTGGTGTGGACTAGCAGATGACGAATTGTGCGCACTACGTACACACCAACACAGAACAGTTTTTTTCAGGCCACATTACAGCTTTGCCAAATTGGTCAATCGCGAAGTGGTTTTTGATTCTTACAATCATTTGCTCCTTTCACGTGGTCAAAGAGAAAAGCAGATGAAAAGGATCAATGTCTAGTCTTTTTGTCGGATAAAAGTTGGCCCATTCACAGTCATTATTTATCTTCACTTACGCAACACTATGATTGGTGTTGATTTCTAGTTTCAATGCTCTATCAAATTATTGTAATGATTTCACACCATGAAAATTCACTCTTAAATCTCTGGTTCTCACCTGCACCCAAAATGTAGCACCCAATTTGTACATGGGCACCAAACACATAAAGGATTTTTTAAAAAAAGCAAACCTCTGCATATTCTCTCCCAGGCATCAGTAACATCTTTGTGTCGTTATTTATTTTGTCATAGGATAAGCTGGAGAATCAACGGGTTAGAGCTGAGTGTGTCTCTTAAAACGTTTTCATAAACCTTATCCACTGAGGAACCCATTTTTTCTGTCTCTCGAGAACTGGTTTCTTTGGTGGAGACCACTGTATTCGTATATTACAGACATTCTGCCGTAAGCTAACGAAACGCCTTTTTTCATTCACAGCAGTTTCGAGAAAAAGTTTTTTTTGAGTCAGCGTAACCATTGAAAAACAGCGTTCTTCCGAAATTTGAAGTCTAATTTATTCAAAAACTAGTCTCAGTTTTACTTTGATATTTTTTCTCACAAGTAAGGTAACTGATCAGGCTATCGATTCAGCATAAAAAAAAATTTGGCGCCGAAATGAAATAAGATGTTTTGTTGTAACTTAAGCAGCATTGCTACTGTCTCCATAGGCCGGGGCCTACAAGTATGAGGAGCTGAAAAAGTGCTTGACTGCCTGCCATGACTTCCTGCGTATCACACAAGTGCCTGAGAACCCTCCGGATTACAAGAAATATTACAGACAACGGAATGAGGTCAGAGATTTTTCCATTTTAAAAATAAAAGGCAAACCTCTGTATCTTTCCTCCCAAGCATCAGTATTGCCTATGTGTCTTTATTTATTTCGTCACAGAATAAACAAGGAATATTGCAGACAACGGAATGAGGTCGGAGATTTTCCCATGCTGATGGGATTTTTTAAAAAGATGATAATGATAAATTGTGTTCTTAATGTAGGGCCATTCAAGGAAAAATGAAACTGCAGTGACGCACGTAATGCAGAGATGTTGACTTGTTGAAAAAAGTTTGAAGCATTGACAGAGCCATTGTTGACTTTTTTATGTTTTGAGGAAACCTGCTGACAAAAACCCCTTGAGCAAAAGGCTCTATCGCTGTTTAGACCTTTTTCAGCAGGTCATCATCTCTGCATTACATGCGTCACTACAGTTTCATTTTCGTGGAATGACCCATAGTGCTTATTCAATCCAGAAAGTAACTTCTATGCTTTACAATTTATTTTTTCTCCGTCAAGCTCTATAACAAAGCGGTGCTGAAGAAGAATAATAATAATAAGATAAGATGCATCTTTATTGTCCAGATCCTGGCACATTGGTTTGGTGTTTCACGTGTACACACACACACACACACACACACACACACACACACACACACACACACACATGCACACACACATGCACACACACGTAGGCTTACAATCACATGCATAATATATATGAGTAGCAATATAAACAATAATAATCTGAAGTTAGATTCACTTTCAATGTTATTCTGATGCATGCTCTAAGGTCGTAAGTATATATCATATAATGATGGTGGTGGTAGTGGTGATACTGATGACAATTTTGTCTATTGTTGTTTGTGGTTAGGCTACTGGACTCGTAAATGTGAGGTTGTGTCCATGGGAAAGGCACTTTACACGAATTTTCCTCACTTCACTCAGGTGGGAATGCGTACCCGGCCATAGACAGCGAAAGGTCTTGTCAGTATGTTAGTGTTTTAGTGCATATAAAAGGCCGCTTGCACTGTATGCTTCCCAGGAAGTTGAGGCAGTTTCAGAATGCTCTCAGGTCTGTTGGGGTAATAGTATGGATTTTAAAGCGCCATGAGCTTGCTGTTGAGAGGGGATTTGCACTATACAAATGCTATTGACTATTATTAGAGGGAGGCATTGCGCTGCCAAGAGCGAGATGCTCGCAGCTATAGGGATTGAAAACAACAACAACAATGACATATTGATTATTATTTTTATTATTATATTATGTCATGCCTACCTCCAAAGATTCGATAGCAACAAGGCTAGAGGGCGACCGAGAAAGACCTGGATAGATGGAGTCAGGGAAATATTAAATACCCTCGGCATCCACCTGACTCAAGCTCTCCGGCTGGCGACAGAGAGACGTCTCTTTCTTCCCGCGACACCCAAAAGGGTATAAGCGGCAGATAAAAGTAAAGTAAAGTCATGTACCATTTCTCTGTCCACAGGGAGCCTTCCCCTTCAGCACTCGGGACTGTGGCTGGATCGTGTCTGACTGTACGGCCGAGGGGCTCAAAGCTGTCATCAAGCTTGAGGAGAAATGTCAAATCACAGAAGCTGTTCCCAAACAGAGAATCTACAGGGGAATTGATGTGGTTAGTGTCAGCGAAATATTGATTCTTCTTCTTCTAATTCTTCTTCTAATTCTTCTTCTTCTTCTTCTTTTTCTTCTTCTTCTTCTTCTTCCTCTTCCTCTTCCTTTTCTTCTTCTTCTCCTCCTCCTTCTCCTCCTCCTCCTTCTTTTTCTTGTGTGGTTTGATTCTTTCCTATCAAACATCTATCATGGTTATCTCTCATCCTTTTTTGTGTTTGTAACTGTAACATCTCTAATCTTCGGCACTTAAAAGATCTATTTGTGTTTTTAGTGCTGTAAAATTATGCTTACTTACTACAACAACAAAAATAACCCCCTCCTCCTCCACCTCCTGATTTGGTTGCCTGTATTTATCAACTTTCTTCTTTTCTTTATGGACTATCCTTTTTTCATAGAAATCTGTGGTGTACCGGTTAGATTCTTTGCTGTTACACACAGAAGACGTGAGTTTGATACCTGAGTGGGGAGATTTCTTTATCCAGTATCACAGTCTTTCTGATGAGTTGTTGCAACCCTCTTAACCTTGGTTGGTCCTAACAGTAGCCTACCTCCTTGTCTCGTGTGTTTACGGAATGCGTTTTATCTATCGATACTTGTGGTGTTTTTTCGGTTACAAGCTACGGGCAGGGACAAGCCAACAGTTGACCCACTATGTTTTGTTTCGTAAAAAATTTGGTGAACCTTTTGTGGTCAACTATTCAATAGTGGGGGGTTGGCGGGTGCTCTGGTGTGGTTTGTTCCTTCTTTCCTATGAAACACCTATCATCCTGATCTCTCCTTTTTCTTTTTTGTGTTTGTTTCTCTCTTGTAACACCTCTAATCTTTGGCACTTATATGACCTTATTGTGTTGCAAGTGCCGTAAAACTTTTATGAGAACTAAACTAACGATTCAATATACCCCCAAACTGTCTGGCTGCAATGGTTGTTGGGTGAAAAATAGCTGAGGCTCAAGTGAGTTAATTGTGTTGGTGGGGATGTAAGACATCTACAAGTAATTACTCATTTCTTCTTTTTTCCCCCTAATTGTTTCAGCTGTTGGAGATGAGGTGTGATGACAACGGTTGGGCGACGTATGAGGACAAGAGAGGTGGTGTTCTCCTGGAGGTGCTCAATGCCTCTGAGGTTTTTGGTAAGATTTATTTTTTTGATGATGTTTCCCATTGATTTAATTAGGCTCAGTCTGAAGTAGTTTGGTCTTGACGTTTAGAAAACATTAATTCTTGCAATTCGATGCATACTGATGTCTGTTCTAGAAGGACATTGCATCCCTTCTGTGTCCTGACTGGTTGAAGCAGACTGTTTCCTAAATGATCTCTTCTTCTCGATCACATCACACTTGAAGTCCGGTATGTAGCATATACTGGACTGTCCTGCTCTGTTCATCTGTCGGCCTGTACAGCTCTTTTTGTAATGTCGGTGGGGTTGGCCACGTTTCCTGCCTCCTAAATAATCTTAAAAGTGTCGATGGGGGTGTAAAATTTCTGCAATTACTTCTTTCTCCCCACAGGTGACATCATGATTGACTACACGTATGTGGAGTGTACCTCAGCCTGCATGCAGTGTATGACCACCTTCACCAAGGCCCACCCTGAGTACAGGAAGGACGAGATCCAGGCGGCACTGACCGGTGGGCTGGACTACGTGCGGGGGAAACAAAGGCCCGACGGGTCGTGGGAGGGCTCGTGGGCCGTGTGCTTCACGTACGGCGCCTGGTTCGCTCTGGAGGCGTATGCCTGTATGGGACACGTGTACGGAGGAGGAGAAGGGCAGGACAGCGGCAAAGTGCCGGAGGAGGTGGAGAAGGGCTGCCAGTATTTGCTGAGTATACAGATGGAGGATGGAGGCTGGGGCGAGAATTTTGAGTCGTGTGAGAAGAGACAGTACGTGCCGAGTGAGACGTCGCAGATCATCAACACTTGCTGGGCCCTCCTGGCTCTCATGGCTGTCAAGTGAGTGAAGAAAATGTTATTTATTTTATTTTTTTCTTAAATATTTGTGTTGTTTACATGTCCATTGACATAGAAGAAAGTCTCAGTGGGTGGTTGGTGGGTGCTCTGTTGTGGGTTACTTCTTCTTTCCTGTCAAACATCTATTGTTCATTCTCTCCTCGTTCTTTGTGTGTTACTCTCTAGTGACACCTCTAATCTTGTACACTGGTAGGCCTATAACCTATTTGTGTTACAAATGCTGTAAAACTCTTACTAAAGCAAAAATGAGAAAGTCTCTGTTCTTTGTTTTTTATCTAAAAATTTAAAAAGCAAGGGTGCTGATTTTCCGAATAAATCTGGATTTCAGAGATTGTTTGGATTTTGTAAATCTTATAATTTAATTGTGAGGCATCGGTAAAATCAGGTGCTTGTCAAAATAATGAAATCGAAGGAACAGGAAATTTTTTCCACCATTTTGTCAATTTTTATTAATTTTTTGGGGGGGCCCAACACCTTTTATGTCGATATAAAAGTACATTTCCGTGTGAATTTTACTGGAAAACAGAGATTAAAGGCGCAAAAAATGTGTAAACTTCCAGTTTTCAAGGACTCTCAAGCATTTGAAATGAGCAAACTTTGGCGGCCATTTTATTACTCATTTGACCTCTGAAACCAGGTGACCCCTCCTCCTTCAATTGCAAATATCTCAACTTCTATTCAAGATAGATGGGTATTTTTTTCAAGGCAAGGCAAATTAATATGCTTTTAGATGATACTAATCAGTCCACATGCCCAAAATTTGACGAGCGCCTGATTCTCGGCGTCGTGACTCAATATATATGCATTAAACAATAGGATTCATGATGTCCGAAAAGTTTCAGATTTTTTTGGGGGGTTGCCAGTTGGCACCTCTGAAAAACAGGGTGTCTTTTGTCATGCATGTGTGCCCTCACTGTTTTGTATAACATCTATCGATATAGCCCATCACTTTTAGTTTCACTCAAAGACACTACTCTATTCTATTGCTGTCCTATCTATTAGCTATCACTGCTCTGTTCTATTGCGGTACTACCTAACGATCTCTGCTCTATATCTATTACTATCACTGCTCTATTCTATTGCCGTTCTATAAGCTATCACTGCTCTATTCTATTGCTGTCCTGCCTAACAATCTCTACTTGTAACTCTGTATCCATTAGCTATCACTGCTATATATTCTCTTGTTGTCCTGTCTTTTAGCTATCACCACTTTATTCTATTGCTGTCTTGTCTATTAGCTATCACTACTTTATATGTTTGCCATCACAGCTTTATTCTGTTAGCTATCACAACTTTATTGTATTAGCTATCACTACTTAGCTGTCCTGTCCATTGGCTATCACTACACTCTATATCTGTTAGCAATCACTACTTTATTCTATTGCTGTCTTAGCTATCAGCTATCACAAGTTTATTCTATTGTATTGCTGTGACATGTGTGTTGACAGATACCCCGATGTGGAGGTTCTGGAGAAGGGCATTAAGCTGATCATGTCTAGACAGTTGGAAAATGGAGACTGGCCTCAGGTTTGTCGAAGTTTCTTTTTACATTTGCCATGAAAGAAAAATTAAGCTTCGATACTTTTCCAAATTATACCCTCAAATTTAATTTTCCTTTGATTTAATATACTTTTAAAAATGAAATCCACAAATTTCATTTTCTTGTGGTTCAATGTGCTTTTTAAAATGAAATTCATATAAGTCTCATAAAAAAATAAATAAATACTGTCTACTTTTTAAAAAGAAATTAACAAATTTCAGAAATTACATTGTCAAGGTTGCATCAGGTTAATGGTTTATGACTCTTTTCTGTAGCAATGAGGTTGAAAGATGGGGAATACAGAATAGAGACGAGGAATGAAAATATGAAATAGATAATAGATGTGGAATAAAGAATAAATGGGAACTAAAGAAGAGAGACGAAGAGCACATGAAAATGTCTCCCCCTCTGTGGTGTGTTGTTACAGGAAAACATCAGCGGTGTGTTCAACAAGTCGTGCGCCATCAGCTACACCAGCTACAGAAATGTGTTCCCAATCTGGACCCTGGGACGCTTCGCCAACTACTACCCACAGAGCAGTCTAGTCAAAAGTTGAAGCCGATTTACACTCTCGGCTTTGATTTTTTTTTTTTTGTCTTGTCTTGTCTACGAAAAAACAGACTGGATGAATATATGTACCTGTATGAAATATATGTTATAGGTCTGGTCTGTCTCTGCTTGTGGTTTGTGTCAAGTTTGTGTAGGCCTCACCGCCTTTGCCATGAGATTTTAAAGTGTGAACATGATCTCTAACTCTTATGTTGTACTTTTGGGGGGAGGGTGGGGGGAGAAGGAGGAAGGAAGGAAGAGAGAGAGGAGAGGGTATGTGTTTGTGTGTGTGTCATATGTCCCACGAGTATGGGAGGTCTACAGGTCCTTCTCAGGAAATTTGTTTGCTTTGTTATTTTTAGTCCCACTGTTGACTGCAGAACAATAATTGTGAAGATGCTGCTACCTGTGGCAAGCTGTGTTTGTGATCCTTACAGGTTGCTTGCTATTATTTGATAATAATAATAATAATACTAAGTGGCATTTGTACGGGACATTTCCATTTCCCCACTCACCGGCGAGCTCTTTGCGCTTTACACTATATTATTTCCTCTACTTTTCTTTCTTTACCATGCAAACAAGGTCTATAAATTGTCTTCCTCCTTGGATGTGAAAGGTTATCATTAGTTCATGATGAATGAACTATTAATTTATTAGTATTGACACTTGAATGACAATTCAGAGTAGTATAAGTATTCTAAGATGGGAGTGAATTAATATTCCTACTAATGAGAAGTGTTCCTGGATGTGTGTTCTGAAAACTTTTCTTTCACCACTCTGTCCTTGAAAGAATAAGAAAGTCTGGGGGAGTTTTTCTGATGATTGGACCAAGGTGCTGAGCTATTTGAAAAAATGGCCAGTTCCTGCGTGAAGTGTTCAATATTGTCATTCTTTTTGTGTCCATTTGACTTATTGCTTTTCAGTATCATAATTTGTCTTTATATTATTGTTTCCTGCTTTTTGTTGCCTTCCTACTTATGTTTCAGAACTGAGAAGATCTCTCACACAATCCATAATGGTCCTTCATTGCGTGCAAGGAAAGAGTAAAACACACAAACAGAAACTACAGATGGAAAGACTCAAAGTCGGACCTACCGGTACCAGTGGCGCCCTCCAAACACCCTCATTCTACTTATGTTGTTTTATTCTTATTTTGTGATGACTTTTACATTTTGGTGTAGTTGTGATACTTCGTGGTACGGAGGGCCCCTGGTTCGAATCTTCTTTTGGGGTTTGCACTTTGAAGTCTGAGAGATAAGTTCATAAATGCTCATTTTGTTTGAAAATGTTAACAAATTAATTTGTTTGTCCGTCGTACTTATTATGGACCAATTTCGTTCAACAGATGCTTTAAAATATTTCTTTCTTTCTATAATATATATATATTATTGTAAAATAAGTCTTTGTAAGAACAGTATTTGATTTTCTACTTAGGGATTTTCTTCAAATCATAGTTAGTCAGAAGTCAGTCAGAGGTAAATTGGATGTATCAGCAATAGGTTCTCGGCAAACACAGAAGTCAAGCCCTTAGAATGACAGGGCGCATGAGGCATAGTTATGAGTAAATGGGATTGAAAGATTCACTCTTACAAACAGCTAAAATGTTTTACACCTTGTTTGTCAAGTGTCAAACTGATCAAAAATACAGATCTGATTGTCTCCAGCCTTTGACACAGTGGGCAGGACATCTGTGTCAGTGATGTGTAGTGTGCTACTCCGTTCCGGTATAAAATAAAGTAGAGTTAGAACCCTGTCAGTCTAAGGGCGTGAAGTGTTTTCACATTACATTTATGTAAGTTTTATACTTTATGCCTTGTAGTACCAGTATATAAGAACTCCTTGTCAGGTCTTTGTTCTGGAGAAAAGCAACCTTTTTATTCTCAAGTTACGCTTCCTGTCCAGCTTTGCGTTTACTTTCCCAATTCCGGGATATTCTTATGTTATAAATGTTTTATATTCTTAAAGGACAAGAAGACTTAACGTGCAGACAGGGTAGAGTCTCTTTCCCCTCACCGGCATCTTGCTCACTCCTTGCTCGCACCAATTTGGTGAGAGGTGAATTTAGTATTTAGTCTACAGGAAATAGGCCTATGTTGCTGGCGTTAGAGTAGAGCCACCAACCTCGCCTAGCCCTCTCCCCATAAACCAAAAAATGTTTGGGTGAGATATTTTACGGCAGCACTTAATTTCTCGCACCTCGCTTGTTGTACCAAAATTGATGTGTGGTGTGTTGGTCTTAAACTTTTAAACAGCGAATTGGAAGTAAATTTCTTACTTTAGGGTAATGATCAAAAGTTCCTCTGGTGACATCAGTGGTTTTCGAAAGTTGGTTCTCCTCTCTTCCAAATATGGTCTGACTTGAGGAAGGGGAAGTTGAAATATTACAGAGGTCTAATTCTTGTGTATTTTAAACATAGTTTCTCATCTGAACGTACTTCATCCATTAAATAATGATGTTCGCCATATATGTGCGCGGCATTGGTGGATTTTGTGCATCCAGTAGTGACCTCTGTTTTTATTTCGATTGCTCAACCAGAATAAATAAAAGATCATCCACTCCACTGAAGCACACGTTCTTCGGCCATCCTGCAAACTGACAATGAATGGAGACAAAAGGGACAGGTCTCTACCCCGTCTCTGACAGGCCCCTCGCTAGTCCCAAATGGTAGGGAGAACAAGTGGAGGGGACAGTGACTCTACTCTGTCTGTACCCTTATATAATTTTTAAAAGGTTCTGATACCGTGAATTTAGACCTACCCTTTTTTATTCACCTTGAATTTGACAGACTTTTCAAGAACAACATTATCATACTTTTTAAAGGAAATTTAAACAGATCTCTTGTTATATTTCCTTCAGACTTGTGCCATTTATTTGAAGTCAAACTTTGGACTACAGATGACCAGATGTTTTGTTTTATGTGATAAAAAAAAGTCAAATGCCAAAATACAAAAAAAAATTCTTCTTTTGAGTTTTATCTTTCCTCGTTGTACTGTGTGTACTTAATATTTACTGTGTCAGTTGCTAAATATGTCTTTTTTATGGGTCAGGGTTTTCTCGAGTGGGTGGAAAATTGCCTGTACTACTGTACACCCTTTCAAATTTTTTTTTACTGCTACCACTTGCAGAACAAGTTCAGCTCTGTTCAAATTGAGACAGTTAACTGTATCAAGTGCAGTTACTTGTAGATATAAAAGTATGCAAGACAACCCCATTCTCGCTCTCAGTTAAAAAATAAACTAAACTCACTTGCACATGTTATTCAGTACATGTCGGAACTCATCTCAAAGTCAAAGGTCTCAGGATCTAATATTGGTGTAAAATTTTCTACACAGTTGTCATTTTTGTACCTGAACTTGGTTTTACTCTTTGTCATTGTTAGTCTCATGTAGATCGATCCAGTACAACAGCTTTTTTAAAGCAACTCAAATTCACGAAAGAAATATGAAGAAGCCAAAAACTGAGACTCATTTACATCATCTGGCATGTTTATTCAAATGATTTGATGGATAAGTCAACCAATCAATGCATGAGTTCTCCAGAAACTCATAACCAAAAGCTTCCCACACAAAGACTGACACAGCTGCCCCACAGAGAGAGCATCCCCTTAAAGTCTGTGTCAGCTGGTGTCCATCCCCTCACTGACCACTGGCAACTCTTCCCTCTCGGCTGCCAGGACTTGAGCAGCTTCCTTGCTGACCGACCGGAGATAGTCCAGGAACAGTGGCTGAGAGTCTGCCCGTCTCTGTAAATATATAATGCATAAATTGGAGATGTTTTACATCCTCCCCAAACAATTTCTATTTCTAGTTTTAGTCACGGCATTTTTTTTCTCACAAAAGTTTACGGCACTTGCAACACAATAAGGTCATATAAGTGCTGAAGATTAGAGTTCTTGTTTTAGTAAAGGTTTTACGGTGCTCGCAACTGCATAAGGTCATATGAGCGCCAGAAGATTAGAAGTGTTACAAGAGAGTAACAAACATAAAAAAGAATAAGGGGAGATAAGGACGATAGATGTTTGATAGGAAAGAAGCAAATCACACCAGAGCACCGCCAACCACCCACGAAGATTAGAAGTGTTACATGATAGTAACAAACACAAAAAAGGAGGTGAAATAAGGATGACAGATGTTTGATAGGAGAGAGGGAGCAAACCACACCAGAGCATCCGCCAACAAGTCACCAACACGAATTAGTCTAGCAAACTCGTACATAGTGAACACACAATAAATAACAGATTTTTGAGTCCCTAATTTTTCCTACATACATTTTCTTATATGTCCTTAAATTCCTACAAGGTGAAATTCAGACATAATTTCTCTATGGCGTCCTAGACTATGAAAAGTAAAATTTAATTTAAGGATAGGGGAATGACCAACAATGATTCTGATGCCAGCCCAAATAATTTTGCTTAAAAGTGTACGGTTAAACAGCATAAATTTGCACAATTCGCTTTTATCAGAAAAAGCAAATAGTTGCATTTAAAGCCTTAAAACAAAAACATACTTTTGTGACAAGTAGGCTATATAAATACAACTATTTGTGTCACGACGCAGTGGAATCAGGCGCTCGTCAATTTTTTGCCATATGAAGTTATTAGTATCATCTTGAAGGTTATGCATTTGCCTTGCTTTCGTTAAAAAAAATATCCATTTATCTTGAATAGAAGTAGAAGTCGATATATTTGCGATTGAAGGAGGGGTCACCTTGCTTTAGAGGTAAAATTAGCAAGATAATGGTAGTTAAAGTTTGGTTACTTCCATAGAGCTTAAGAGTCCTTGGAAACTGCAAATTTACATATTTGTGCCTTTAATCAACGTTTTTCCATAAAATCCACACGTAAAAGTGTTTTTGAATAGACATACAAGGTGTTGAGCCAAAAATTAAAAAAAAAATTCCAAAATGGCCAAAAATGCCGTTTTCTCGGATTTCATTATTTTGACGAGCGCCTGATTTCACCACAAAGCCTCACATTAGCTCGGATTTCCTCCTTTCTCAAGAGATCCACCTTAAACGAACCTAGAACTTTTGAGACACCAGCATATTTCTCTGAACTCAAACTATTAATATAATTCCAGTGGAGAACAATAAAAAACTGAGCTTGACTTGGTACAATCTCACTCAACATACCCTCTTCTTCTTGGGACATTTCTCAGGAACTGAATGGAAAACATCTCTAGAATTCATCTCTTCATAGATCTCAATTGGCGACCTGAAATACAAAAACAAAAAAATGTCAGCCAACTGCTGTTCTAGGACTCTACCCTAAGGTCACGGGTTCAAATCCTATCCGTGGCCCGAAGTTGTGTCCCTGGGAAAGGCAATTTACACAAATTTTCCCTACTTCACCCAGATGGGAATGAGTTTCAATGAGTACCAGGCTATAGACAGTGTAAGATGTTGTCAGTTCGTTCATGTTTCATTGCATGCAGTCAGCAGCTTGCACTGTATGTTTCACGAGAAGCCAGCAATGTCTCTGATGTTCTAGGGCAAGCTGCAGTAATAGTAGTTGTAAAGCACATCTGCTATACACATATACCATACACATACTCGGAAAATATCACCTATGAACAAACACACACACCCATACATTTATTTGACCAGGAAGATTCAAAGAAGCCTACTTCCTACAATGATCTAAATTGTGTCGATGGAGGAGTAAAACTTTTACAGCCACATTGGCGCTGACAGACAGAGTATGAAAAGCCCGTTTCCTACATGACCTAAATCAGTGCTTGTCCATCGTTTAAAAACCAGCGCCCACATTTACCACCTTCTTTTAAAACTAAGAATAGTCAACACATAAATAGTCTTTGCGAAGATGCTGTTGTGTCAGTTCACAGTAGAGAAAGGATGTTGTTGTTGTTGTTTTCAAATCCCTTTAGCTGCGAGCATTTCGCTCTTGGCAGCGCATTGCCTCCCTCGTAGAGAAAGGATGAAGAGACGAGAATATTCACACTGCCCACCCACATGTATTTTCAAGCACGGCATTAAATAACACTTGTCACTACCCTGGTGATCCCTACTGCTCCGCAACATTTTCCCAAATCACTGACCAGTAAGTAAGTGATATCACAGAGGTTGGCACACACTGATCTAAACCAAATTTTGAATTTTTAGTTTTAGTAAGTGTTTTACGGTACTAGAGGTGTTACAAGAGAGTAAAAAACACAAAAAAGAAGGAGGGGAGATAAAGACAATAGATGTTTGATAGGAAAGAAGAAGCAAACCACACCAGAGCACCCACCAACCACCCACGTTTTGAGTCTGAGTTTGAGTAAAGAGATGCACATTAACACAATAACATGTGATCTAAACTGTACCAATGACAGACACAAACAAGACCACAACAAAAGCCTCACTTCCTGGTCATGTGCTGTGGCAGCTGGTGCTGACCGGCCAGGGGAGCCTTCTGGATCATGTGTCGGGAGTACAGCTGTACGGCAGGGTTGTAGTGGTGCTGGGGAAGGGCAAATAGAAATATTTACAGTCAAAGACAAAGAAGGAACCAGATACGTGAAACCCCCCCCCCCC